AGTAAGTTGGGCTTTGTTGCACCTGGCATTGAATCAGGTTTTTAAAATATGTTATTTTAAATAGCCCTCACCACCACTCCATATCCCCCATATTCCATTTGATTGCCACTGAAGGAAAGAAATAAGAAATAGAAGAGAAGAGGTGATAGAGCATAGTGAGGAAGTCCTCTATGGCTTTTTGTCCGTCGCTCTTGTTACAAAAAAATATTATGATCATTATAAGTGACATCTATTCTACTTTTGTTTTTGATGATTTTGAATTTGGTATATTTTTTTCTCCTAAAAATGATGAAAATATGATATCTCTCATTCTAGTGAACTTCCATCCTATAACTTTTGATATGTTATATATCATTATTTTGAATGTTTTGACTGGTTTATATAAAAATTTCATCGAGTAAATTGATAGTTATAATTTTTTGAAGTTAATGATATAATTTATATATTATATATATGATACATTTGCATGTAAGCAAAGATGGTCGGTTGTAAATACTATAATTAATATGTGTTAGCTTTTAAAATATAATATCCTATATTGGAGGGTGGGCCAATGAGATTTTCTTAAATAAAAATTTTGTTGTGTAATCATTATATTGATGTTAGCCTATAAGGCTATAATCGGTTGATCGATTATCTCGATATGTGAGAGTAGTAAATCTTTATTAATTTATTGAAAGTCACATGTTTAAAATAAAATATTAATAAAAATAAATAAAATATATGATTGACCGATGAAGATGAATTAATAAGGCAGATGGATGATAGATGGAATGATGAAAAATATCATATTAAAGTTGGATGTCTTGGCTTGCTAAATTTAATATTAATATGCATATATAATAACATATATAATTGCATGTATAATATGATAAATATAGAAAGGGCAACTAACATATATGGTAGCTGATAGATCTGATAGAAGATATATATGACAAATGACAGATAAGATAGACTAGACTGAAGACTAATGCAACCAATGATTGATGATTGATAGCTGATAAGACTAATGATATGTGAGTTGCGATATACATCGATTGATTGACATGATTGACATATACCTAGATTAATAGGGTGCTGATATGAACATATGATATATGAGAATAATATGACTAATATGTATATGATAAAATTGTATATGAATTACATGATACTATTTCTATTGAATGTTGTATGTTTGTACCATTATATGTTTACTATTTCTGTCTGATGCATTGACTTCAATAATAGATATTGGTTACTTGCTGGGCTACTTGTTCATTCTATCATTTTTATATGTTTTCAAGTAAGAGTAAGGATCATGTAGATTGAGGTTATTATGGGCTATAGGCTGGAGTTTCTTTCTATATCTTTCATTCTTTCTAATTTGTTCTTTTATAGTCATGATATATTATTTCAAGTGATGAACTATTGTTGGTTGCATATCATGACTATTATACATGCTATTTTAGATTCTAGGTCAATGTATAAATATTAACTATAGAAATATATTTATATTTTTTGAATGTAATATGTCAGTTATGGTTATTAATTAAAAATAATAAAATATGTAATTCTTCAAATTTAGATTCTAAGACATGACAGATTCTGCATTGAGCTCTTTATTTGAAGAGTCAGGGACAATTTGAAAGATTTTGCCCAAGCATTACGGCGCTGTGGGCCAGAGCATCACGATGAGGAGAAGCAAAGGGAGAGAGGTGAAATATGAGAGAGAAATTTAAAGGCCACAAAGCTGGTTTAGTCCTTTTGGTCAGTTAAGGAATTTTTTGAACACGAGTTCACTTCCAAATCTTAATTTTCTATTTTAATTCCATTAAATTTACAAAAAGATACGGAGTAAAATGTAATTTTCTTGAATTTTAATAAGTTTCTACCATGTAACTTTTTGTATATTATAAAATACATTATTCTAAACATGTTGAATAGAAGGAATTAAAATTTTATCGGTTAATTTTTTTCTATATACAATCATGTAAATATTTAATAAATGTTAGAATTATGGCATTGTTTATAGTTTAATAAAAGTCTTAAAATATTTTTTAAAACATTCCTCTAAAATGGTATTTGAAAAGGCTAATGCTAAGTTTGTAAGTAGTTTACACATGCAATAACACCTAAATATTATGCATATGGCATACTACGCATCATCACTTTTATGTTTAAAGTCATGTTTAACAACCAAAATATTCAATATGCATATGCATTCATATTCATATCATGGAAGTTCTAATGTGAGAGGCTGTTAAAGTGCACTACAAGCTTTGTTATACAGGTCCGACTTTCTATTTTGCTTATGATTCTTGTCCCATATATTTTATGTAAATGTGGAGAGTTATTTCTGGCCCCATCTACTTTTATGCAGGTGTGGGAGGTTCATGGAGTTATAATGAAAATCATATTGGTCTTCTTGCCATAATGGGGGTTGGCCTTGGGAGACAAAAATAGAAGTGGAGTTATATGCAGACATAAAGACATGTACATATCATATTTCATACATTGCTTATTTTGATAAATGTCAATGAATTGAATTCAAGTACAAGTTATATTCTATTAATAAGTATACTTTGATACCTCTGCAAAAAAAGCTTCTATGAATAATACAAGTGCAAATATATGTTAATATCCAAAATGTGCAAGTTCAAGTAATAAGTTCTAAATATTTATTTGAAATATATCCATGTTAAGTCATGTATGCAATTTTGTTCTTACAAATGATTCATAATTCTTATTTTATAAGCATTTAAGTCTTTCATGATAATTTTAGAAATGTTATTTAACTATTTTTATTATGCAATATAAGATGAATATTAACTTCTATAATAGGAACTTGGAAATGACTACAAAGCATGTTTGTGCTCACTCTATAAATTATCTAAAATTTCATAAAAAGGAAAATAACATGCCGCATAAATGTTAATTGGGTTCAAATTTGTCAAGAATATGTCAATAAAGGTATTCTTTTGTAGTCCATCATTTCCTTAAGTTTCAATGTTTATACATTTAAATTGAGACTATTGTAATTAAATATTTTAGAAGAAATGAAAAATGGAAATTCTTTGTATATGTTGAGTTTTAGTATATTATATTACTCGAAGATGTGTAGTGGCCCTGATAATGAAAATTTTTGTTTGATATAATTAAGTTTAGGATCTAATTCTTCCATTAGACCATGAGGCATGACATGTAGTCTCTCCTGCAACTTTCTTGCCTTTATAAAAAAAAGGGTTGGGAGGTACTTTTGGGATTTTTTTAGGCCACCAGAACTTATGATATTAGGTATAGATAAGCTTCTTCTATTCAATGTCTCCCTTTCCCCACTCATTGCCTTAGCAAGTATTGATAGTATATTCAATTCTACTTTCACAAATAAACTTGTATTCAACAATTATAGTTGTTGTACATACCTATTATAAAATGAACAAACTTGCCAAAAATGATAGATATTCAACTAAACATAAGTTTTTAGAGTTATACATGTACAACATAAAAATGAAAGAACTTACCTGAAAATAGTTGTATATATGCATGTACAATTCTAAAATTTAGCATACACAATTGTATAAACATGTGCATGTAAGAAAACTAAAAGAGCACACCTCAAAAGAGTTATACTAACTCTTAAACTAACATTTAAAATACAATGCATTGCATTAAAAATTTCATTTATCAATACCAGAGAAATATCTTTGCCAGTGAGTGCTATATTGCTTATCAACTCAACATATTTGTTGCTCTCTCTCTAAGGCTATCAACTCAACATCTTAATATCTTATTTGAACTTTGTTCGAACATTTTTTTTATTCTTACTAGGATCTTATTCTAGTTGTGCGGGAACTTTGCTTGAATGTTGTTAAAACCATGGTGAAATCTTATTTGAACATTGATTGAACTTGTTCGAGCCATGTTCGAACATTGCTTGAATCATATTCAAACTTTGTTCACCTTACTTGAAAAGTTCGAATAAGATTCAAAAAATATTTGAACATCCTTGTAATTGCTAATATGATATTTTATATTGTTCTAGGTTTAAGATTTATAGTAGGAACACGTACTCGTATAATATCAATAATCTTGAATAGATGATAATTGAAAATTTGAAATCATTGCTTTGAAGTTTTACGTCACACTCACAACGATGATCCGAATACTAAGATTGTCAGAGATAGAAAAGATGTTGTGAAGTGGATCATTTGAGAACAGTGGCGGAGCCAGGATTATTTATTTGAGGGGGAACAATTTTCTAATTTAAAAAAATATCGTCAAGCTTTTTCATTCGAGCTTGAAATTAACATTAGGGTTTTTTTTAAATATCTAACATAAGGTTTTCATATTTAATTTAAATAAAAAATAATAATTACAAAATATTTATAACAAGCAATAAATATATAAAAAAAAAGCTGCATCTTTTTAATATAAAAATATATTAAAAATTATAATTAGTATATTTTAAGCTATTTGATTTCAATTTAAATATTGTAATCTTTCTCTAGTATAATTTGTTAGCTTTAATTATAAAATTTCCTATAAAGAAAATTTGGAGATTTTAAAATAATTTAAAAAAATGGATGAAATTTTAATTTTAAAAAAATTAGTAATTTGAAGATAAATGATTAAAATGGGGAAAATATATAAATAAAGAGAGAATTATAAATGAAAAAAAAAAGGTTTAAGATGATCTTCCCCTAAATCCCCCCCTAAATCCGCCAATGTTTGAGAAGCTCAATTATTCGAAAAATCTTGTAAATCTTAAGTGAAGATTTCAAATTAGATTCTATCTAACATAGTTGTTTTGATTTGAAAAGAACTTCTTGATATTTTTTTCAAAAAATAAAGACTAGCATACTATTATAATGAGATTTATAAAAAAAACAAAAATTTCACATATATTTTGTTATTTTTTATTTTAACATGTGAATATCTTTTTTAAGTTTTCACTTGTTTGGGTCATTTCAGGTTAAGAAAAATCAAACAAAAAGACAACATAGTTTAAATTCACACCATTCGAGGAGGCGAGATGTGAATCGTAAATTTTAGACGAGAACTCTTCTCTCTCGCTCGCTCTCTCCTTCCAATTCGTCACACCGGTTGTCCCAATGACGGCGATCTCCCCGTCCCCGCCGTCAAGCATTTTTGCCGCTCCCGGTCGCCGCTTCTTTGATCGGCGATACCCTCTCCTTCGGCGCTGCTCCACCGCGCCGCGTCTCGCTGTCTCATCCCGCCTCTTCTCCTCTCGATCCTCTCGCTCCGGTACCAACGGATTCCTCGAAGACCCACCTCCATCTTCCTCCGGAGGGGATGTGCTGCACGCCGGACCACCTCCTTCGCCGCGGTCTGCCGAAGGAGTGCCGGTGTTCGTTACACTCCCTGCGAATGTCGTGGGTCCGGGGGGCCGGATAGTGAATCGGAAGGCGATGCTGGCGTCATTGAAGGCCCTCTCGCTGGCTGGTGTGGAGGGGGTCGTCGTGGAATTCTGGTGGGGGATCGTTGAACGGGACAATCCTGGTGTCTATGATTGGAGTGGCTATGCGGATTTGGTGTCAATGGCCAGCCGCCATGGCCTCAAGGTTAGGGCTATCATGGCTTTCCATCAGTGCGGGTCGGGACCTGGTGATCCTTGCTGGTTAGTTTTTTGTTCTCCTTGTTTTTCGGAAATTTAAAGGCCTTGTTCGGCCCAAATGTAACACTTTTTTTCCTTTATATGGTGGACAGAATAGCACTGTGGCTGTATGGTTTATGTAAAACGAAAATTTAGGTCATCATATATAGGAACCTGATGCACGCATGAATTACTAACAATGTGTTTTATTTTTTAACCAAACACTAACAATGTATTGGATCTAAAATGTTGGCTACTAAATTTGGGTATGTCCAGCGATGCAACCAAAATATTAGTAGATTTTTTTATGTAATAGTTATAAGAGACAAAGTAGATTGTGATGGAAAAACATGTAAATGCACACAAATGAATTAGAACTGCCTTGTAAAGTAAGGAGCCGAGATTAGAAGTTGATCTAGAAAATGTGAATTTGCATATTATTAGAAGCAAGCATATATCTCGTTCTTATTGTGGCTTTTTTAGCCTGAACACAAATGAGATGCAAATATTTTGAGCATGTATAGAAGATGTTTAGAACAATTTTAATAAATTTGATTTTAAAAATGTAGTAGTGATTTTACAAGGGGCATTACAAGTCATCTATTTTATCATCACACATGTTTCACATCCAAATTTTTATAAAAAAGTGATAAAATTAGATTACCAAGTTATTCTTCGGTTGTAGATAGACATCAATAACATTGATCTTTTTTTTTTTGAAGGTGGTAATATAGAAAAATCAAATGTGTGGAGAATGATTTTTTTTTTCCATACAGAGATAGGGTTTGACCACTCATGTTGGATGGATGAAGTGGATGAATGCATCGGGCTTATTGTGTGATAGAAAAGTACCATTGAAACTTAAGGGAAAATTCTATAAGATGGTGGTTAGATCTGCAATGTTTTATGGCGTAGAATATTGGCCATTAAAAGAGAAGCATAATATTAAGTTAAGTGTTGCAGAGACGAGAATGCTCAGGTGGATGAGTGACTTTATTCTTAGAGACAAGGTACGAAATGAGCATATATGTGAAAAGGTTGGAGTAGCTCCAGTGATAGATAAGATTAGAGAAAGTCTCCTTAGATTATTTGGTCACATAAAACGGCTGCCTTTGATGACCCCGTTAGGAGAGTAGATGTATTAGATTTAACCTATGTTAAGAAAGGTAGAGATAGACCTAAAAAAACTTGGTTTAAAAATATTAGAAATGACCTTTCTTTATTGGATATAAAGGAGAATTTGACTCTTAATCGGACACAATGGAGAAAAAGGATTCATGTAGCCGATCTCACCTAGTGAGATAAATGTTTGATATTGTTTTTGTTGTTGTATACAGAGATAGGGTTTGGTTTTGTCAATAGCATCTAATCAATTTTTGTATTCAATCTTATACCATTCATAATGATTTAATATGCCGTCATGATTAGAGAAAAAATTGATTATATTCTACATAAAGAGTAAGTGATTGCCAATCTTTACATTCTTCTACTTTATATTTTCACATTCCACGAATCTCTCCAACTAAAACGCAAAGATTGATCTCCATCCTATAAACTTGTGCCATTCTTATTCACACAATTCTATCTTGCTAATACCGTGAAGATTTGACTAGGAAATTTTTTATCATCCTCACATCTTATTGAATAAAAATGTTTAAAACTTATTTTCCTTTTTATAATATGAAATCTGACACATTTATCAGCTCAATATTTATTTAATTAAAAGAATTTAGGGATTACTATTTCTGTTGTTAGATGGCTGTGAATTTGGCTCATCTTTATGTCACCTTAACTATGGAAGAATTTTATAATATTTTAGAAGAAATTAGCATAAGATTACCATTGGTGGAAATCTATTCTGATTGAGGTAATTGATCCAGCAGTTTTTATTCAGAAAAGGGATTCAAGAAAATAAATTTATTGATATTTTGGTTGGGGGAGGAGAGAGCCACGAGAATTAGAATTAAAGAAGAGGAATGAATAAGCTAATTATATGGAACTAAAACCTAACATCATTGAATTCATCTTAATCATCAGTGTTTGTGGAAAAGTAACGCCTTGCCCAACAGACTTCCACCTCCAATTGTCCAGTCATAGTCCTGTGGAAAAGTAACGCCTTCCCCCACAGACTTCCACCAATTTTCCAGGCATATTCCCACCTCTACGCTCATAGACTCCCACATACTACAGTGCTCTCACAGTTCCCCTTTCATTCTAGTAAGTAGTAATGCCAGACCAACTCCCTTCAATAGCCTTACCCCCAGCACTCTCTCTCTCTCTCTCTCTCTCTCTCTCTCTCTCTCTCTCTCTCTCTCTCTCCTTATTCTCCGTTCTACCTCATTGATCCATGGAACATAACTACCACGTCATCAATCTAGAGGCTGTCCTAATCCTAAGTAAACCTCTAGCTATTGTCAACAAATAATTTTTTTTATATTATGACTATCTCCAAGAATTGTATAAATTCAACACAAATGATGAAATGAAATACAACAAATTCTCTCCAATTCTTGTTATGGTATTAGAGCCTTAGCCATATTTTTTCTTTGTATTTCCATAAGCTGCTACCTTCATCACTGCATCGCTAGCACTTGCATGGCTTCATTGTTGCAGTTCTCTTTCTTTTACCTAATATTTTTATTTGTAGTATGTATTGCACTATTGCTGCAACCTTATTTCTTTTATTCTTTATGTTTGCAACCAATTACTTCCACAAATTGCCATTCTCACGAATCTCAACAACACTCATATTCCCTTTGTATTTGTTTCATTTAGAATTACAAATGACAAGTCATATCCTATGAGAGATTTATAAAATCTTCATTCATCATATTATTTGAATGGAGAGAATTATCTCAAGCTACAATTGTTTCACACCTTATTGAAGGGAATAATATTGAGGCATTTAAATAGCATCAGACCTCAACGAGGCAATGCCATGTTTAACACTTGTGATGAATAGGATTCTATGGTAATGTCCTAATTATGAAACTTCATGATTCCTGAAATAAGTAAAGCATGCGTGTTTCTTTTTCCAACAAAGGAAATATGAGATATGGCGAACCAAATATATTCTAAAGTCCATGATACATACTAAATCTATAAAGATCAAAACTAATATCTCTACTATAGAGCAATGTGGAAGATCCATCATAGAATATTGCGATTTATTACAAGACCTTTGGCAAGAAATGGATTGTTGTTTATACATCTAAAATGAATGCAACAAAGATGCAACCATTTAGTTATTTGTTTCAAAAGATCAACTTTATGGTTTTTTTTTACCGGATTAAATATTGACTTGGTTAGAAATTATTAAAAATGACATTTTTTTAATTATATTTAAATGAGAATTTGACTCTTAATAGGATACAAAAAAATATTCATGTTGCTGACCCCATATAGTGGGATAAAGGCTTGATGTTGTTGTTGTTAGATTAAATATTAAATTGAATGTTGTAAATGTGCAAAGTCTCATAATGAAGGTTTTACTTATCCTAAATGAAGTCATTATTATCAATCATTTGAGAGGGAGAAGGGGGGTTGTTATTACCAATAACCTCATAAAAGGTACACTTTAGCTAAGAAGTTTTCTAACATCAAGCACTTTGATTCAATATTCTTTTCTCTTGAGTAGTGCTTGTAGCCAAATCCAACTAAGATATCCAATAGAAATTTCCTATGATGTACATATTACAAAAAGGCTCGACATATAATTGAAAGATATTGGATATTTCATGAAAAAATATATAAAAAAAAATTGGACAATACAAGGAGGCTGGGCAAAAGAGTAGAGACATGCATATTTAACATATGTGGAATAAAGTAACATCAAAGAATTAGCTATTGAGTTCCATGAAGAAGAATTATAAAAGTTAAAAAACTTGTTAAAATCACTTGAAAAGACTCCTATGATTGGTTGTTGTCCTTTTTCATTCTGAAGTATGATCTCATCTTCCCAACTCTAACTCTTGGGTTATTAATCTAATAGCTATTGATCACATGATAAACTCCTCATACAAATTTATTTCATTTACTCCTTATCTTAGCAACAAGGAAATAAATATTATTGATGGTTCATTGATAATTGACGTTAGTCAATAAGGCATTCTTATAAATATATCCTTGATATTTAAAATATCCTCCACATACCTAAGTTATATAACAAGCTATTATTGATCCAAAAGCTAGCTATAGATTTAAAATGCAATGTTATTTGTACCCTTTACTTTGTGTATAGCAATAATTGGGTACGAGGAGGATGATTAGGCTAGCAAAAAAGGAAATGATTTATATCATCTCAAGGAATCCAATGATCAATAGAATCCATATAATTTTCATTATCATCTGTTCTTAAAAATTCTTAAATCTAAAAAAAAAAATCTAGCTTCAACTTCTACACCTTGACCACCATATTTTTGTCTATCTAAAGAAATCAATATTGGAGGATTTCATTGTGATGTTTGTGAACTAAAACACAAATGCATAAAATTTTTTATGAGTGACATAGAACCCTTATTCATTTATGGTGACATCTGGGGACCATCCTCTATATTTAATATCTTTAAAGCTTGATGGTTTTTGTACATCATTGATGATTGGACCCATGTGTTATGTGTCATTTTAGTATTTTACTAAAAGCTAAAAGTGGTGTAAGTACTATTTTTCCCACCAATTTTAACATAATAAAAAATCAATTTGGCATTAAAATTAAAAATGACAGATCTGATAATGCTAAAACTTTTTTTACTAATATTTTTGTTTTTTCATATTTAAAAAATAATTAATATATGAGTTATCTTGTATGTATATATCCCAACAAGTTGGGTGGCTGAATGAAAAACAACCAATCAACCATCTATTTGCTATCAAATCAGCTTTCTTTTTTTCAAAAAAATGTTTCAAAATAATATTGGGGGAAGTTGTTTTAATAGCCACTCATATTATAAACCGATTACTTATGATTCTGAGCTCAAGAGTCCTACACCAATTCTAATCAAATTATTTCCTTTACTACTTAATAT